GGAAGAATGCTGGTGGCGACATAGTGAATCCAGTGGGCACCAGGGAAATGGTGCCATTGGTCTCTGGGTAGTGCTTTGTTGGAATGAACACAATCACATTTACAGTCCACGTGTCCATCACTATTCAAGGATGATTGCCCCCGCCCCCTGTTTATTTTTGTTTTTTACTTTTTTACACTGAGTTTTTATTTAGACACTACAACATATGGGGTGTTTCTTCCCATTTGATGCATTTCTGTGTCAAAAAGCTATTCCAATGTGATGGCTCAATTCCTAACATACTATCATATGAGGAGTGTGCTAACACCTACCAGTGTACAGGAAAGATGCATTTCGTGTATAGTAAATATCGTATATACCTTTTGTTACCACAGTCAGAGTTTTTAAACAAATGAGCATTATAGGATTTTCTTCTAAATGGACTTACTGTCAGGTCAGTGTTGACTTATTGGTGCTGTTGAAATAATCCGTTTTCACTAAAGTGGATGAAACCTACAGTATATCCTTCCTCTCAGAGATTTTCATCCACTTTGTCAATGATTTGTCATATTCCATTTGGAAATAGAATGCAAAAGCAATCACAGTGAAACCTGCAAACTCTAACCAGAGAGAGAGATCTAGCAAATTCTAACCAGAGAGAGAGAGAGAGAGAGATCTTGAGAGAAAGAAATGCTGTTCTTAGAGAGTGAAGTTGTTTTAACAAATGGCAGTTGCAGTGTACACTTTAATGGAGTTTTCTGATTTACGAGGACAAACATTAATTGGAGTGCAGCTACCATGACTATCATATGATTATTGGCAAGAATTCTAAAGTGAAATATGAAAAGATCCTGTCATGATTCTTAGATTTGGTTTCCAACATGATGAATCCATAGAGTTTGGTCCTTAAAAAATACATGAAAGGACAAAGTAAATATCAGTTTGCTGTAGGATTTTTATGTTGAATTTGTCATTATCAAAAGTGAACAGCAATGAAAAACTGGTCAAACAAAATTTAACATCTACGTAAGGAAATTCAAGATATGGGCTTTTCACTAGGTCTTTTCGTTACAGTCCCGATTCATTTCAATAAAAAGGAACTTGTAAAACATGGTCTGTATGTTGCTTTTTTGACTAGACCCAGAGGCTGTCAAATCTTAGATGATGAAATTTGGGCTTCTGTTATTTCCTTTTTCCACTACTTTCCCATCATCGGAGTGGCCATTATATGGAAGTAATACAAAGTCAATATCAACATCCTGTCTCCTCAAAGCACGCTGTTTCTCAGATCCTCAAGTTTTTAGATCTAAAGTCACCATTTCTCGGGGAACAGTCCGAGTCACAATATACACACGTGAATACCTGCTATAGGCAAACTCTACTTTGTCAATGTGCTCCTGAATGTACCTGTGCAGTTACACATGAGAGGCTTCCAATCTGAGCAAATGAGGCTATAGAGTGTGTAATTCTTTTGGAGGAAATCATCCCTGAACTTGCCATTTTTTTAAAACCTGATTTCTCTATCCCACATTTTAAAACTTCAAATTATTAGAGCCAACTGAATTTAGAACTCCATAGCTTCACTCTTGCAACTTTTATCTATTTACTTCTCAGTATCACCTGTTGCCAAACATGCAGCTGTCAGGCTATGGTCTTCAAGTTCTCATCTTTCCTAAAAAATTAGCCTTTCCTCAACCCCACAGAACACTCCCGCATGGTAGGGCAACATGTTTTCTCTCTCCTCCTCCCTTCACAAATAAAGCCCTTAAAAGAATTCTCAGCATGTTTCGATCTCCGCTTTCTCACCTCCCTTGGCTTTTCAGCTCCTGAAATTCGGCTTCCTTCCCTTCCACTCCTTTGAAGGGCTCCTGTCAGGTCACTGATGACTGGTGACCACTGCTTCTTTGCAAAGATCTCCTCTGAAGGATCCCTCTCCTGTGTCTTCCTGAGTCTTGGCTGTCTATTCCCCAGTCTCCTTCCTATGCTCGCCTTCTCTCTTGTCCTTACCTGTAGTTGGCGTTTGCAGGTTCTCTCCTGGTCCACCCTGACCCCTCGCTTTCTCCTTGAGTGATTTGACTCATGGCTTCCCCTGCCCTTCTCGGTTCTCATGACGTATCTGTGGTTACAGCAGAGCTCCAGCAACCCATGTGCCCACGGGTGCATCTCCATCTGGATGTGCCTTAAACCAGAGGTCAGCGATCTTTCTTCATAAAGGGTCAGACAGCAAATATGTTTGGCTTTCTGGGCCATGTGGTCTGTGTCTCTGTCTTAGCAGAAAGGCAGCCATAGACAATATGTAAATGAACAGGCATTGCTGCTTTCCAAAATAACTTTACCAAAACAGGCCATACGGGCCACAGCTTACCGTCCCCTGCCTTAAACCACTGCCCTTTCCTGCCCACGTCCACTGGCTCCTCCTACCAGGTCCCCTTTCTTAAATTGCTCCACCTCCACCTTTGCACTTGAGCCAGGGGAGCCAGCCAAGTCTGCTTTCTGTCTCCCTTCCTCCCACCCTTGGTCCCTAAGCTTTTGTCCCCACCCCACTGATGCTACCTTCTTATAGGTTTCATATGTCTCTTGGCTAGCGTGGCATTCTCCTCTTTCTGTTATGCTTCCAGCCCCTGAGTTTTGGCTGGACATGTGGCTACTTGTGTGGGCTCTGCATTTCCCAGCCTCCCTTGCAGCTAGGTGTGGCTGAGCGACTAGGCTTAGGCCAGTGGCCCGTGAATGAAGTATCTACCAAGACAAAGCTGAGAATCCCAGACTCGTTCCACTGGAAATGGCAGTGACCAGACAAACCTGGGAAGCCATGGGTTAAATATGAGTAATTGCCTGGTAAAAACCTGCCCACATGATAGAGAGGATCTTTTGTTACAGCAGCTCAACATGTGCACATGTCGCTCAGTTACCAGCCTGCCCGCTAACCCCCATGTGCACAGCCTCATACCCCTGCCAGGCCTTTCTCAACACCACCAGGAGATAAATCTCCTACAAGGCCATTCTGATCATGTCACTCCCCACTTAAAGATGGACAAGCAAATAAGAAAAGAACAGAAATCACTGATTTTAAGAGGATTAAAGCAGGATGAAGTAATGGCATAATGGAAGAGCTCCTTTCTGTTGGATAGTCAAGGAAGGCTTCTGTGAACGAGGCGAGAAGGAGCCAGGCAGGTAGTAATCAGGGAAGAGAGGACGCCAGGCAGTGGGCACAGCTGGTGCAAAGGCTTGACTTGTGGCTTGTTCCAAAAAGCAAAAGGGGAAGAATGTGATTAGAGCACTTTTGATAAGTTCCCATTGCAGGGTAAGATCAGACTCACTAGGGAGTTGGAAAAGACTGGCCATAACCTCCAGGCAGCTGGGTGGGTGGGACAGGCAGTTCCCTGCCCAAGACACTGCTGTGAGTGGGGTTCGGAGCAGAACTCCACCTGCCCTCCTCAGCCACCATGTGGGGCCTGGCTTGGACCATTCCCCCCACGGGCTCTTGGATCAGAAGTGCATAAAGGCCAAGCCTCTGCCTTCAGAACTGGCATGAAGGGCCACGTGGATCAGGGCAGGGGCTGCTGTTCCCCTCCCTGGGTCATCTCTCCCAGAAGCCCAGAAGCCCACACTCCAGGAACACCCCTTTGCAGACATTGTTCCACCTGCCTTAAGAACTTGCCCTCAGCTGGGCACGGTGGCTCACGCCTGTAATCCTAGCACTCTGGGAGGCCGAGGCAGGCGGATCGTTTGAGCTCAGGAGTTCAAAACCAGCCTGAGCAAGAGTGAGACCCTGTCTCTACTAAAAATACAAAGAAATTATCTGGACAACTCAAAATATATAGAAAAAATTAGCCAGGCATGGTGGCTCATGCCTGTAATCCCAGCTACTCGGGAGGGTGAGGCAGAAGGATTACTTGAGCCCAGGAGTTTGAGGTTGCTGTGAGCTAGGCTGATGCCATGGCACTCTAGCCCAGGCAACAGAGTGAGACTCTGTCTCAAAAAAAAAAAAAAAAAAAGAACCTGCCCTCTACCCCTTCTAAACCTGACAAGTTGACTGACTTGTCCTGAAGGTTCCCTGCTCCCCAACAGGCCGTAGTGACCCCATCTTCTGAGAGGGCTGGAGCACTATGAACACATATGGCTGCGGAAGCTTTAGTTCCAGCCTCGCTGGGTATTCTCAGGGCTCAAACTACCCGGGTGGAAGGGAGGCTGAGTAAGACACCAATCAGCCTATGCAGGACCACTGAGGTACAATGCCTTATACTCAACCTGGGCTCCCAATGTCTGCCAACACTGACCAATGTCTGCCAACGCTAACTCTAGCCCTAACGGTAAATTGCCACCTTTAGTCCATTCCACAGAGCCCTCTGAAAGGGTCATAGAAAGATGGTTATGACCATAACAAACTATGATTCTTAACAGAGTCAAAAGTTATTTTCAATTTCCTTTGCTCTTCTTTTTTTAGTCCAATAATAACCCTTAAAACCAAGGAGGCACACCAGGTAACTTTCAGCTGGGGCAGAGAGGGAGAGCTACTGTGTCCCTTGTGTGCACAGCACACGTTCTCACACAATTCTTTTATTTAAACCTCAGAATCTTTTTTGCATTTGGTAAACCATCTCACAAGACTTGGGCTCACAAGACTGGCGTCCTTTGAATTAACTAAACCCATGGCCCCCCATGATAGGGACCCCAAGGGGCAGGGAGCCCTGAGGCAACCCCAGGCTCTGAGCTACAAACCTCTCTTTCCAGAACTCCTCTGACACACCCTGGAATTTCCCAAATGTTGACAAAGAAGGCTGTTCCCGTACAAGGACCAATTATAGAGCAAGCTCCCTATAATTGGAAAATGCAAGGCCCTCCCCCAGGCCTGTGTGTAGTGTGCTGTGTGTGGCATGGGCAGCACTGGGCAGGGTTGTGTTAGGTGCCAGGTGGGTCCTGGCGTCTGCTCCACTCTTGCCAAATGCTGCGTGCCAAGGTCTGTGTGCTTGTTTTCCTATTGCTGCAGAACACCCTGCCCACCCTCACAGAAAAAGAGTCTTTTGTGCAGCACCCTTTAAAGGGTGGCTTGTCCCATGCAGGTTCTCTCTCCTGGTGCCGGGTTGCAGGCAGGTTTATCACAGCATCACCATGAAGTCCATCCCCTGCCTCTTGCTGGTGGCCTTGTCTTTCCTGGGGATTTTGGGGCAGGCTCCAAGGCAAAAGCAAGGAAGCGCCGGGGAGGAATTCCATTTCCAGACTCGAGGGAGAGATTCCTGCACTGCGCGCACCAGCAGCTCAGGGCAAGGTGCTGGGGAAGTCTGGCTTCGCGTCGACTGCCACAACCAAACCCAGGCATACTGGTGCGAGTATAGCGGGCGGCCCGGTGTGTGCCAGGCCTTTGCGGCTGACCCCAAGCCTTACTGGAACCAAGCCCTGCAGGAGCTGAGGCACCTTAGCCACACGTGCCAGGGAGCCCCGGTACTGAGGCCGTCTGTGTGTCAGACGGCCGGGCCCCAGGCGCACATGCAACAGGTGGCTTCCAGCCTCAAGGGTAGCCCAGAGCCCAAGAAGCACCCGGAGACGACCAAGGCTTGGAAGCCATCTCCCAGGCCCGGGGCTCCAGCGAAACCCATGAAAGCAATTCAGCTGGGAAAGGACTCCATGAAAAATCTGGAACAAGCCAAACCCACCACCCAAGCCACTGTCAAGGCTACCCAGGCTGGACCCAGGTCTGCAGGGAATGCGGAAGCAGAGAAGAAGACCTGGGAGCACTGTTGGAAGCCTCTCCAGGCCCTGTGTGCCTTTCTCATCAGCTTGTTCCGAGGGTGAAATGGTAAAGAATCCCTCCCCTGCCCCCAGGTAACGCACCTACCTTTACTCATACGGAGAGACTCGCTGAGGGGCACTTAACGCTTTCACAAGTGCTGTGACTGCATCAGAGTCTCAGCAAGGCTTTGGGGGTGGGCTTGGGGGTCTCTGTTGCAGAATAGCATAGATGAGGTAGGGCTGAGGACATCAGCACTGACGCTTGACCCTGCTGACACACAAGAACCACCAAGGAAGCTTTAAAAAATGCTGCTGCCCAGGCTCCACCCAGACCGTTTAATCACTGTGTCCAAGGTAGGGGCCCGGGAATGTGTACTCTTAAAAACCTCTCCCAAGCGGTCTGAATGTAGCCAAGGTTGAGAATCCCCCTTTGATGGGCCTACCTCACTGTTTCGCCGAGGCCTTTGAATTCTGGTTGGAGACTTTTCCTACTGAACCAAGTCTTTGCTGTGGTTCTTTGTGGCCAGGGGGAAAGATGGAAGAGATTGCCTGTGGGCACTTTAGAGTTTTCGCCACAGTCAGGTGTGTATGTTTCATATCTTGCATTCCTGCCGGTGTTCACAATCACCATGTATTCAGCACAGGGGATGGGGCCAGGGAGAGATGTGGGACTCGCTTCCCAGATCTGATATGAGGTGGGAGCGTGGAAGAAAAGGGCTTTCTGGAGCCCGGACAGGGAGACACATCTTTCGGGTGCCTGGAGACCTGGGTTCGAGCCCCAGCTTTGCTGCGGAGGTGCCATGTCACGGTGGAGCGGTCACTGCACCCCTCTTGTTCTCAGTTCCTTTCCTGTGGCGGAGCTAGTGGGGAGGATGTTGTGCAGGGAGGAAGGTTTGGATCAAATAATCTTCAAAGCGTTTCCCACAGCTCTCGAAGCCTTTAATCACTTTCTTCTTTGCAGAAGAGAAAATCCAATTAATATTAACAGATTTAATCAACTCCAAGTATTGCTTTCAAGAGATGAAACTTTTTCTCTTGTGAAAACAAGGTTTATTACTGATCTCTATCCCTAAATGCAGCACCTTTCATTAATTTTACACACCAGAAAGGAGCTCATTTACATGCAATTCTAGGCTTATTTGTGCAGCTTGAGTTTACAAAGAGAGTTTCTGAGGTTTTTCATATTTTCTGTGTAAGAAAAATAGGAAGAAAAAAGCAGATTTCCTGGTAAATGTCATTTTGATAACTAATACCTTAGAACACATTTGCCTTTTTCTGAGAGTGCTGGGCCAGCATGAGGTACTGTGTTTCACCGGAGCTGGCTTAGTGTTTGCTGCTCTGGGCTGGGGGTTTCCTGCTTGTTTAATATTCCAGGCCTGTCCCAGAGGAGAAAAGGGGCCCTTTGAGCCAGAAATAGATAATTACGACTGAGGAGAAATCCTGGTTTCTGTTTTCTTTTGAAAGCTGATTTTTAAAATTTGTCTTTGTGCAAATAAAGCATATAAATTATTTAAAAAATAATCAAACACACAGAAAAGTATAAAGAGTTTTTAAAAATCTACCTTTAATCCCACCATCCGGAGATAAATAATGTTAACAATTAAAGGAACATCCACTCAGGTATCCATCTATGTGTATTTACACAAACACATGCACAGTTTACACACAGACACATACAGGCTGTTAAAGCTCAAAACAATGTCTCGATCCTGAAGACCAGCTGCATATGACCCCTGCATTAGTGCTAGGGCTGCCATAGCAAAATACCATGGACTCGGTGGCTTAAACAACAGAAATTTATTTTCTTGCAATTTTGGAGGCTGAAAGTCCAAGATCAAGGTATCAGCAGGTTTGGTGCCTTCTGTGACCTCTCTCCCTGGCTTGTAGAAAACTAACTTCTCACTGTCATCCCTCTGTGTGTATCTGTGTCCTAAACTCCTCTTCTTATAAGGACACCAGTCATATTGAATTAGAGCCCACCCTCGCAACCCCATTTAACCTTAACCTCCTCTTTCAAGGCCCTATCTCCAAATACAGACACATACACTCTGAGTTGCTGGACGTTAGGACTTCAACATTTGGTTTCTGGGAGGGTCAAAATTCAGCTCGGAACAACTGACAAAGAATCTTTATCCCTCTCCTTTCCTTCTCTTTCAGAGCTGACTCCAGGAGAATGATCTCCTATGTTGTGATGCTTTCAATCTGATGTTCTCACACTGGATGAAAGGAATTTCTAATGAGATCCAACTGCACAAATTCCCGATCTGCAGCATCTCTGAAGATTGGGAAAGAAACCTTCCTTTTAGGAGTTTACGGAGTTCAGCGGTACCACAGGCAACAGGTGCAGATGAGCTCAAGAGTGACAGGCATGCACATCAATTTTTTATCTTTAGGAGTTTTGCTTTAATGATCTGAGTCTTCTATGAAAGTTTAAACATGTAACACATTCATTAATTTCCAGTGTAGCTTTCTGAACAAGACGTGAATTTGTCACATTTCATTGCTTGGCAACACAGACTTGTAGTTAGAGAAAGGTCAGTAAATAGCGGCTATGTGTGTGAAAAATAAAGAAATGATTTCAGAAATATGACTCTAATCCTCTTAACGAAGACTATACCTAGATGCTATAGATACTAGTTAAGTGTGTATCATTTACTTCCAGTTGCTGTAACAAATTACGCAGTTAAGGGGCTTAAAACAGCAGAAATGTGTTGTTTCACAGTTATGGAGGCAAAAAGTCTGAAATCAAGGTGTCATCGAGGTTAGTTCTTTCTGGAGGGTCTAAGGGAAAAATCTGTTCGATGCTTCTCTCCTAGTTTTTTAAAGTTGCTGGCAATCCTTGATGTTCCTTGACGTGTACCCACATCACTCTGACCCTCATCTCTATCTTCATGTGCAGTTTCCTTTGTGTGTCCAAATTTCCCTCTTCTTATAAAGACACCAATTACTGGATTAGGGCCCGTCCTAATCAAGAATGACTTGTCTTAATTTCATTACATCTGCAAACACCCTATTTCCAAATAAGGTTATATTCTAAATGGACGTGAATTTTGGGGACCACTGTTCAGCCCAGCACAGTCACTCCATAGCCAAGATGGAGAAGTGGACATGGAAGACAGCAACCTGTACACTCGGCGACTGAATTAAACTAACAAACTTGGAAAGGACAGAAAATAAAATTTTATTAGGCATAGGCAAAAAGTGACTCATTCCCCTCCTAATTCTGTCTTGTCATACCTAAGAGTGCATTAATAATCCACTCCTGGTGTACTTAAATTGTCTCCCCATCTAGCCCAGCGATGCCCCATCCCAGATGCATAATGGAATCACCTGGGGGAACTTTTCGAAAACACTGATGCCCAGGTCTCACCCCCAGAGATTATGGTGTAACTGGTCAGGATGGGCCCTGAGCATGTGGAATTTTAAATCTCCCCTGGCGATTCCAATGTGCAGCCAAGGGGGAGAAGCACTGCCCTAGATTAAATCAGAATCTCTGGGGTGTATCCCAGGTAATTCCCAGGAGATTTTATGTGCATCCTGGGATGAAGACTACTCATATGGCCTCTATATGCATTTCATACAACTAACAAATATTTATTCATTGTCTACCATGTCCCTAGCACTGCACGAGACACTGGTTGGGGGAGAGATGAGTTAACCAACTAGGTCCCGCCTCCTAGGAGCTCAGTGAAGTGGTGGGAACCAGAGACACATGTGATGAGTGCATGAGATGACACAGAAGGCTGTGGTGGGGTGGGGTCCGGGGAGTTTTGCTGGTGTTGAGTTTCTAAAATATATGTATGTCAGGCATCTACTATAACAACTTACCAAGTCTGTTTCTTATAAAGGCTCTGTGCCCCTCCTTACCTTGTCCCGTCATATAATCCTCAACACATCCCTATGAGGTAACTAATTTTATTCTCAATTATAAACTAAGGGACTTGAAAGCTTAGAGAAGTTGGTTGTCCAAAGCTTGTAATAATCAGGACAGCAGAGAATCCGGGTCCACCCAATTCTAAAGCTCATGGCTGTCAATATACAAACATCACAGCGTAAGCCAGGATGTGTCATGGACCATTTATAAAACTCTAAAAGAAAACAAAAGCTTCAAGACATTGGATTCGGCAGTGATTTCTCAGATATGACACCAAAGACACAGACAACAAAAAACAATTGACAAACTGGACTTCATGAAATTTAAAAGCCTTTGTGTGTCGAAAGACACTACCTCTGGAGTAAATAGACAACCCATAATATGGGAGAAAGTGTTTACAAATCATATTTCTGATAATAGATTAATATCCAGAATAAAATGGGACTCCTAAAACTCAACAACAACAAAAAGACCTAATTCAAAAATGTTCAAAAGGCCGGGCGCGGTGGCTCACGCCTGTAATCCTAGCTCTCTGGGAGGCCGAGGCAGGTGGATTGTTTGAGCTCAGGAGTTCGAAACCAGCCTGAGCAGGAGCGAGACCCCGTCTCTACTAAAAATAGAAAGAAATTAATCGGACAACTAAAAATTATAGAAAAAATTAGCTGGGCATGGTGGCGCATGCCTGTAGTCCCAGCTACTCGGGAGCTGAGGCAGAAGGATTGCTTGAGCCCAGGAGTGTGAGGTTGCTGTGAGCTAGGCTGACGCCACGGCACTCACTCCAGCCCAGGCAAAAGAGTGAGACTCTGTCTCAAAAAAAAAAAAAAAAAAAAAATGTTCAAAAGACTTTAAGAGACAATTTTCCAAGAAAGATATACAAATGGCCAATAAGCACATGAAAAGGTGCTCAATATCACTAATATTAAGGAAATGCAAATAAAACCACAATAAGATATCACCTCACAACTATTAGAATGACTACTATCTTAAAAAGCAGAAAATAACAAGTGTTGAGAATGTGGAGAAAGTGGAATCGTTGTGCATTCTCGAAGGGAAGATAAAATGGTATAGCTGTTATGGAAAACAGTATGATGGTTCCTCAAAAAATTAAAAATAGAACTACTATATGATCCAGCTGATCCAGCAATTCCACTTCTGAGTATATACCCAAAAGAATTGAAAGCTGGGTCTC